GTCCAAAAAGGCGGTTTTGGAAGGATCTCATCGAGAGCTTTCCTGAGAAGTATCAGTTGGCGCTCGCACCCTCCTAGTTGTGGAGAAATTACGCTTTGAAAATCGATCGCACCCCTGTGCGCTGACTCGCAACCTTACGGTATTGAGAGACGTGATTTTTTGTCGTCGTATGCCGCATGTCAAGGGATGGTGGCGTGGGGTGGCAGTGGCGTGAGGGGCACACTAGGTTCAGAAATTGACCCCGAAGAAATCAGCGCCGATCCGTGCACGAAAAACGTTGGTCACAAGCGGAAAGTCCGGCTGTCAGCAATGGACAACATCGTTTTCAACAACTCAAGACGCGCTGTTGTGGAATATGGCTGCAAACACCTATCTTCCCGAGATACCGCCTTGAGCACTCCACTTTTATAGTGTAAACGTCCAATCAATGTCGTTTCCACCCCGAAAACGCAGCTTGAGCAATTGACGACGGCGTTTTCAATTTTCAACTGCTTCGAAGTATCGAATTCGGCTGCTGCACTAATTTAATCTCCCCCCCTAACTACGAACTGTTTGTCGAATATTCTTCCCCCACAGATATACAATATTAAGTGAGGGTGTCGCAATTCCCCGGGTGATGGACACTGAAAAGCAAAAAACACGGGTGTCCTTATAGCGGAGTCGACTGTACATGCGAGCATGCGCGTTCACCATAAGAAGACATACAAACAGACTGCCTGCTCATGCACAACACAAAGGACGGCTGAGTTAGATGCTTCGCTTTAACTTGATGATAAGTTTACAGTTGACGGCAAAAAACCGTGTTCAACGATCTATTTTAAGATCATTTTCAACCACGGGACACATTATTGCACACGACCGTGAATATATAGCGTTTTGGCACAGGAGTCAAACGCCATGGATATCGACTCGGTCATGCGTGTGTGTTGACGTGCGTGTACACAGGCTGCCTACCAATAATGCACGGAGGAATTTGTTCGTTTGGCGAAGAGGGATAACCTACAGTGAGTTCTGTAAAGTGACGTTGACGTTCTCCGCCTTAGTTTGTCCAATCAGACGTGCGATTCTTTTCAAATGGACGGTCAACCGGAGATTATCCGGGATGCAGGCGGGAAGTGCCCGATCAGGGCATACTTTTTCGCGGTGGTATATATGACACTCGAGGCGTTCGACGGCTTGCCTCTCGACAGGGAGGTCGTGATGAAAAGACTTTCTCTTTCCCGATCGACACCGTGAAGAGGAGAAGTCGATCGGAGTTCTCGCGCGGGCCAGGCAGACCGCCGAACGAAGTTAACATGTTGAATTGAGGCGGGGTCTTGTCTCCCCGCTTCGCTCACAGCGCTCGAGCTACGGGTGAACTCTGGCGTCTCAAAGCTCCGACAAAATTCTCTATAGTGCTATGGTTGTACAGCAGCGGAAGCATGCAATTTTCTCGTGGAACGGGTAGACTTGTGGCTAGTGTATGAGTAGTTTCTACAAAACGCAGTAGATATTTGTCGCCGCGGTGGCGGATATAAGAGAGGGTCGGACAAGCCGAAGTGCAGCAGTTGAGAACTACAGCTGCTGTTGTTCTCGCCATATGTGGGACTGTTGTCGCTTGAACCGTAGTGCTGCTGCCCCGCCTGCTTGGTTTATTGTTGAGGTCCGCAGTTGTTGATAAATAATGAAAGTCGAATTTGGGTTCTAGGCTTCAGTTTCGTCGTTACCACCGTCGGGCATTATGCTGAAGCAACACAGAAAGATGTGGTGTAGGGAACGCTGCCGACATGTCTCCCAAGACTAAGTAACGACGCTTTTTTCCCGTAACTAAATGACGCCTCTTGCTCGCCCCGTACTACCCTGCCCGAACAACACGCGTGGCGGAAGTCTCCATTCTTGAAGGCACACATACACACAAACGTTTACCTCCCCCCGCTCTGCGACTCGACCCTTGCTCTCTCTTGTCTCGCTGGTTAGGGTATTATGCCTACCTTTTGGCAGGACCTAGCAGGCGGCACGGTCGGTGGAGTCATTGGGGTGACCGCGGTTTACCCTCTCGACACGGTAAAAAGCAGGTGGGCCGACAGACTACGGGGCGCGTTTGGCGTAAGGTGTGCGGGACGATTTTTCGGATGTTCCGAAGGTTTATTTGCCGAAAGAGGAAATCCGCAGCTAGACGGGAACGTTCCCTCTTGGAAGCAGATCAGGCAAGTGGCTCGCCTCTCGTGGGCGACATGAAGGGCAAAGTGGGCTTCGCAGAATTAACGGCCCCTGGAAAGCCCTAGGCATAGCTGATGACTACCACATATCTTCATACTCCTCCCCGTAGCTGATGGACCGCCATTGGCGTTGTAAGCATGTTCGTGGCGTTGGGACACCCGCGTGCCAAGAAAAGGGACAGGTCCTGTCTCTATCGTAATTACAATCCGGGGTCATATATCGCCCTCTCTCTCAAGGCACTTGCGGGGGGGGACTGTTTGGTGTAGGGGGTTGGAGTTTCCGATGGTGATTATACAACATGTACTGCGTGTTTTCGCTCCGCGTTGTCACACCAAAACAACAAGCATTTAGGGGCGATATTGACTATTGACGGGAAAATTTCCCCTTGCCTGTATGGGGTGTGTCTTTCTCCCCTCCCTCCCATTTGCGTGACACCACGCACGACTTTGCGGGTAGGTTGCAAACGGGGGGCAGGTATTTGGGCACGGTTCAAGTCTTGTCCTCCATGGCCGCACACGAAGGGGTAAGAGGAGTCTGAATGTTGACGCAGCTTGCTTCGTAGGGTTGATACCGACTTATCGCGGGACGTATCTTTTGTCACGATGTTGCTCTGCTGTAGGAGCAACAAGAAAAAGCGAGGCAGGACCAACGACCTGAGACGGAGCTCAAATTTGGCTGGAGAATAGCGCTGCTATTTCCTTGCAAGACAAGTCGACAGCGATGTCTTGATTGTCTTGCTGGTTTCTTGTAATTACCTGCCTCCTGATTTTTTTATTCTTTAAGAGCCCTGGGGTAGCCCCGGCCTCATCCGAGGCTCGTTTTTTGCCAGCGGGCTCACCAAAAAGTAGGGCCGTCTTAAGAGAGAACTCCCGAAAATGTGTCACGACCAGGTATAAACTCGAAGAAGAGATGAGGGAGACAGAAATATGCATACTCTCCGTACAATATTATCGGTGTGTACCAGGTAAAACGTATCATAACCAGTGTGTAGAGGGAAGGCCGCCAAAGTTGCAGTAAAAGGTTGAATGTTCGTGGACTCTTGAGTAAATAAAAACTAAAATTTGAATGGTCCATCAGGATTTGGTTTCTTCGATACATAAGACCCAACCGGACCCCACATCCACATGCGCCATCATCCCCCGCCAGGTGTTGCGCGTGGTGTACCCTCTTTCGCACCACCACCAGTCAAAAACCGAATGAATATCCACGCGCTTTACACTATAAAACTGTTGCGTCTGGCGCCCTACTTTGCCCTGTCTCTCTGGCACCTCGAGGCGCAACTCCCCGCCCCCGCCCTGTTTGTTCCGAAAACAGTCCGCAGTAATCAGTGTGTGCACGCATTGCTGATCTAGTCTAATGTCTACTTGGTCTGCTTGGTCACCAACCACGAGTGCGTGCAGCGCAATCCCAGTCAACCCGGCGCGCCAGATTCTTATGTCCTGAATCAGTTGTCACGCGCACAGCAAGTAAGGCATGTAACAATCAATCCTTGCAGTTAACCGGAATTCATGGCAACGCGCTATGTTCACCAGCAGGTGTGTGTGGTGTTTACTCGCTCGCGCGCGCCAGCTTTAATCTATTTTGACTTTCTCAGGAGCGAATACAGTAGAGGTCCCTGTTTAGAGCCAGGTGAATAGTGCCGGTGCCCGGTATAGTGCCGGTAAATTCTCGTGGGCACATACCGGCACTATACAGGGACCTCTACTGCCTGCACACACAAGCAAACAAGTCTTGGGAATGTAGGCTTGTGGGTGATGGCGATAGTCCCGTATCGGTTCTCGAAGAGGGGTTATTAACTGTCGTCGAAAAACGTACCCTGTCCCGAATTTATTCTTGAGTTGGCGCGTGCTCTCTCCGCAGCGTGTCGCGCAAGTAGAACGTTCGTATGCAGCCATGACCACTGACGTACATAAGCGGAGCACAATATTGTGCAATCTTATAGTCACAGGTCAAAAGGCAAAACTCAAGTGCTGCGTGTGAGCCAGTACGTATCCTGTACAGCTGCAGCGCGGCGTACCAACTCTTGTTGTGCCGCTGGTCTCTAAGTACGAGAGGCTTGGCTCTGAGTACGCAGGAAGTCCGAAGGAGAAGAGAACGGTTTGGTGGAAATGTAGTTACTTGATCAGCGGAGACCAGAAAGAATGTAGAGAAACAGAGTGAAACCACAGAGAGAGGTGGATCTCTCCAAAGAAACAGGAGGGGTAGAGAACCCCAAAGAAGCAGAGTGAGAGGATTCATGGGCGAGTGCGCGCTCATCCTCGAAATCATGGAATCACACCTATCCGGCAACGTCGACCGATCACACGTGTTCAGAATACGGTACTGGTAAGCCAAGATACGTTTCTGGAAAATATTACTTCAACACCATGCTCTCGAGTTTGCCACGTATGCAAGTCAAGTACAAGTACTGTACTTGCAAGCATAGGCGATTACTGGCACTGACGTGCATTCGACTATACGCAGAATACAGCTTCAACTATTCCAAATTCGGCTGCTGAGCGCATACATGCGGATATTCATTCGTCCAAGCATGCAAGGCTGAGCTACTTGCAGAATGATTCATTTCTGGAAATCTAGACTATGCATCTTCTGGATATGAAACATAGAACATGAACCAACTATGTCTACTTATTCCGAGTATGACATAGCGACATTGCCAATATTGAAACTAGTCAAGCCGACTATCTAATGCTGAAGCTACGGTAGTGCCAAATATTCCAACATGCCCCTCAATGAAGCAATGTCCATACTCAACGAACAGCGTGTGCTGAATATCTACGATGCTTAGATGCTGCGAAATTTGTTCTGTCTGTACTGTCGTACCCTGGTATTGCGAAACTTCAACGTGCAGAAACACATGCATGACCTGTGGGATGAGAAAGGCCTTGAAGACAAGATTAAATGCCAAAATGACAAGTGTAGCTCCTAGAAGGTGATGGACTAAACAACGAACGGATGATGGGAAAACCTGCTGTACCTACTGCCTTCACGCTCTACCGTGCGCGCGTCCACAGTTGATGTCATGGTACCGAGGACTTTTATCTCCGGTGGCCGGGTACGGGGCCATGTTCGCGGTTTCCTTCTCTTCGTACGGCATGGCCAGCCGGTTCTTGCAGAGGTGTGCACGGACGTCTCTTCCACGGCAGTTAATTACAAAGGAGGAGACCGCAGTGCGGCAGATAGGACATCCGTAAGAGTAACTAGCATTACAAGGAGGGAGACCGCAGTACGGCAGATAGGACATCCGTAAGAGTAACTAGCATTACAAGGAGGGAGACCGCAGTACGGCAGATAGGACATCCGTAAGAGTAACTAGCATTACCATGGAGGAGACCGCAGCACCGCAGGTAGGACATCCATAGACAACTGTAATAGCACCAGGTGTGCTGTCTCGGTGGCCCAGGTGGCAACGTCGATATCTCGTGACGGCCAATAGGTCTCGGATGCGGGTTGAGCGCACTTCTGGTGAAGGAAACGCCTTGTTACCCTGCTCGGGCTAAGAATGGAAGCAGGCTTGCACAGATCGTGAAGATATATTTTTGTGTTTTTCCATGGGGTCGGGCCCGTTCAGTTGAGACAACAGCCGCCTACGTCTACACCTAGATATACATCTCTTGGGTGTACTGCCATTCTATGGGTGCATATTGAAGAGAGGAGAGTGGCCGAGATATTCTATTCTGGGTTAACAACCACCCTGTCCCCCCCGTGCGTGCGAAATACGACAACCAACGATCATCGTGTGCGTTACGCAGACGAAGGAAGGAGGACGGAGGAGGGGGTGGCAGTGGGGAAGTTTTCCTCTGGGAGAAGAGTGCGGCAGGGTTCTTCGCGGGAGCAATGAACTCCCCCTTCCGAACGGTGTTCGACAGGGTCAAAACTGTCATGCAGGTGATTCAGATCATGACGCGGGCAATTAGGATCATCGGCGAAAGTCCTCGATATATAGATCATGGCGTATCGAACGCAGTGCTAGCTTGTGGCGTGGACCGAGAACATGGAAGCAGACGTGCGAATGGGACGCAGAACACGGGTCTCACGTCGAGTTATGAATGAACGTGAACCAGCTGTAAAAGGACGACGTCGTTTGCCGCACCATGAACCGTTTCTCTCAACACAGTCGTAGTATCGCCTCCGTGTGGTCAAGTCGCATGGTAAGGTTGTGTGCGGTGTTGCGGCTGGGAAGACTCCGCCCCAAGAGAGGCGACGATAAAACAAGCAGTGTTCCTTGATTAAAGCCGGTCGCGCCCTCGATAGGACCGCCTTCGCGATAATTATGTTTCTGAGGAAATAGAACAGGGAGGGGGTACTGTTAAGGAGGACCCGGTTCGCAGGGTATCCGTCGATTGACTTTTACCAGAATCGGTACACCTTCGCATACGGCGTCAGCAGGATACTGGTTCGAATCTCCTTAGGTGCACATTTTTCTCCTGACTTGGACATTTTCCCATGGACACAAATGTGTGTCAGTCCTGAAAGCACCTCTTGGAGTCGATAATATAGAGAAATCTGTGACACTTGCATCGAATTACCCGTCCTGGCCACAAGAGGTTCCCAGCATCGGGTAAATTCTGTGGGTGGAGAGTGTTAAGGAGGACCCGATTCGCAGGGTATTCGTCGATTGACTCTTACCAGTACGCACCCCCCCTAAAACCCTTACCCTAGCACAGCTTCCCCGATTGCATCCTTTATCCAACATGTATTCTTAATACAAACAACCCTGCAAAGACTATGTACTGCCTCCATAAGGTCATTTACATCTCGTGATACAGATGGAACATTTCAAGTTGTCTTATACTCTGAGCAATGCCGAGTGCCCGGTAGGAGACCGGCCAAACGCCTCCTCGGCTTTTAATCGGCCTTGTATAGGGACCAAAACTGCTGCGCTGTGGTGGATCTCGCGTACGTCAGCGCAGTATCAGCCAGCACGCTTGATTGTGCGCGTAGCGTGTGTTATAGGACTGCCGAGGTGTTCGAAAGGGGTTGAGATGATGTGACGTGCGCTTCCCCCATGGGTTGAGCTGAGACTATGGCTGGACATGACAGCGCCAACGACGCCAGTGGGTGGGACAAGAGAATCCCTCGCATGAATGTTTGGTGGCATGAACCCAAAAACCAAGCACATGAAAATCTGTCGAACAAGCCGCAAAAGGTGTACCGCAACTTGGTCGGTGTTGGGCCTCGGCATGAGCACACGATGGTACGACGAACAGCTTGTGCCCTCAAAATCGTGCTACCTTGGTGTCCGTCTTTCTTTGCCGTTCTGAGGCTCATGGGGTTCAGTTAGTGTTTGTGGTACTTGGAGGGCGGTAGCGCCGGCTCTTAAGAACTTGGCAGTTAAGAAATATGAGGTAGCCTCGAAATAATCAGAATCTTTCAGAACTTGTGAGCACGGTTGAGCACCCAACCTTTAGCGGTTATTCGTAACGTGACCCTGGGAACTAAGGACCCCCGCCTCGGCCAAGACTAGGAGGTTCCTGAATGCTGGCGTTGACTGTACTCCATGTCGTTTGTCACGGCAACTGCAGGTGCGGGTCGGGAATGGGCGAGCGGCACCCTACTCCTGGAGCGGCGCGTGTGCAGCGGACCTAGTGCGAAGGTATTTGGATCTATACCTCGAGGTTTCGCTGACCTTGTTGCAGCAGTCCGTGGCGGACAAGGCGGACGATGCTATCCTACGTTGCGTGAGATATCACAACCCCTGGACCGATTTTCAGAAGTCGATTACTCGGCAGGAAAAGGAGCGACGGTGCCGAAAATAACGCCGTCGGAACAGCCTCGTCGAGATGTTGTCCGAAACGCATGGTTTGGTTTTGACACCCTCTTCCTCGTAGAGTAATCGTACATTGAAGATCGGTCCAGGGGGGATGCGGTGTCTTCTGCAACCTACGGTATTGGGTTGGGTCAAGTGCTAGCGCAGTAGATACGGCGAGAGCGCGCTTGCCCTTGGTTGTGTACCGCCTGAGCAATCTTCGTGTGTAGAATCATCGCTGCAGAGGGGTTCCTCGGTCTGGGCTAACAGCAGCGCTTGAGTATTACCGATGCAAGTGGCGTGTGCTCTTGTCGGATGGGATGCGGGTTCATCGAACGTCGCCCCATGACGTCTTGGAGCAGACATGCTTCGCTGCTGGTTCATCGCCGTGTCTGTTTTTTGGAGGTGTTTTCGTTTCGTCTTTCGTGGTCTCGTCCTCTACATTCGCAACAGATTGCGTCGAGGCGGAACAGACCGAGTCCGCTTCCCGCCGCCTCTCTTGGCACGGCGTGCCTGGCCGCTCGCAGTCTGTGCCTCTCTCCGCTCTTGTGCCGATACAC